CAGGAGGTGTTTAACAAGGCTCAATCTAATGTATTGCCTCCCCACAGAGCATATGACTGTGCCATTAACCTGTTTCCAGGCGCTATGCCACCTAAGGGGGCAGTTTATGCCTTATCTCCCCAGGAGAGTAAAATAATGGAGGAATACATCAAAGAATCATTGAGCAAAGGGCACATAAGAAAGTCATCCTCACCAGCTGGTGCAGGATTCTTTTTTGTTGAGAAAAAGGGTGGTGAGTTACGCCCTTGCATAGACTACAGGGCACTTAATAAAATCACTGTAAAAAATGCATACCCTATCCCACTCATTTCCGAATTGTTCGATAGACTTCAGGGAGCTAAAGTATTTACTAAGCTTGACCTTAGGAGCGCTTACAATTTGGTTAGAATTAAAGAGAATCATGAGTGGAAGACGGCATTTAATACCCGTAGTGGACACTATGAATATCTGGTAATGCCATTTGGGTTATGCAACGCCCCGGCCGTATTCCAAGACTTTATAAATGATGTACTCAGGGAATTCATTTACTCATTTGTCTTGGTTTATTTGGACGATATTTTGGTGTATTCCCCTGATCTTCAGACTCACCACTCCCATGTGAAACAGGTTCTGCAGACGTTGTTGAAAAATAAACTTTATTGCAAATTAGAAAAGTGCATATTTGACCAGCCTGAAGTCCACTTTTTGGGTTACAACATCTCTGCATCGGGATTTCAAATGGATCCTAAAAAACTAGAGGCTGTACTACACTGGCCATTACCCTCTGGTTTAAAAGCCATTCAAAGGTTTATTGGTTTTGCCAACTATTACAGAAGATTCATCAAGGGATTTTCTTCTGTAATAGCCCCAATCACAAATATGACTCGCAAAGGGGTTAGTAGCACGGTATGGTCCAAAGAGGCTGTGAATGCTTTTGAGACTCTTAAACAAAGATTTGCCTCTGCGGACATACTAAAACATCCCGACACTAGTAAACCATTTATATTGGAGGTTGATGCATCCGAGACAGGGGTAGGGGCTGTTCTCTCTCAGAGAGAAAGCCAGGGAACACCATTGCATCCTTGTGGCTACTTCTCCAGAAAGATGTCTCCTGCTGAGCGCAACTATGATATTGGCAATAGAGAACTGTTGGCCATTATTCTTGCCCTCAAGGAGTGGCGACATCTTTTGGAGGGTTCCAAGGACCCCCTGTTGATCATAACCGACCACAAAAATCTGGCATATATAGGGGATGCCAAACGTTTGTCTTCCAGACAGGCTAGATGGTCACTATTCCTTTCACGTTTTAACTTTCTCATTACTTATAGACCTGGTTCTAAAAATACCAAGGCTGATGCCTTGTCCAGGCAATTTGATAATGAGTCAGCTCCGGAACAGGTGACATCTCCTATTATTCCACCAGAGTGTATTATTGCCACTACTGTCCTCTCACTGTCTTCTGCACTGCTTGGCACCATACTGGAGGCCCAGCCTCAGGCACCCAGTGGTAAACCGTGTGATAAACTGTTCGTTCCCCTATGTGAAAGGGTTAATATCATGAAAGTGTTCCATGACAATATAACTGCTGGACACCCGGGCATCAATAAGTCCACTGCCGCGATCACTAGATCATTTTGGTGGGATTCACTCAGGAAAGATGTAAAGGAGTATGTGCAGGCATGTTCTATGTGTGCAGTTTCTAAGGTGACTCATGCACTTCCTTGTGGCCTGTTGCAGCCTCTTCCTGTTCCTGAGATTCCATGGTCCCACTTATCCATGGACTTTATTGTTGAGCTTCCTAGCTCTGCTGGGTTCACTACTATTCTCATGGTTGTAGACCGATTTTCTAAGATGGCTCACTTCATTCCTCTCAAGAAGTTGCCATCTTCGCAAGATTTGGTCCTAATTTTCATACGTGAAATTGTCCGTTTGCATGGCATCCCCACAATATTGTGTCTGATAGGGGCTCTCAGTTTGTGTCCAGGTTCTGGAGGGCGTTCAGTAAACAATTGGGGATTGATCTCTCCTTCTCCTCCTCCTACCATCCACAGACCAATGGTACAGCTGAGAGGGCTAACCAGTCATTAGAAGTTTATTTGCGTTGTTTTATTAATAGCACACAAGACAATTGGTCCGAACTACTCCCGTGGGCCGAGTTCGCTAGAAACAATGCTGTTCATGACTCCTCTGGGCACAGTCCATTTTTTGTCAATAATGGTAGGCATCCTACGGTTCTCCCTGCGGTATTTTCTGATACTGCCATTCCTGCTCTGGATGAGCGTCTGGCCTCCATTCGGGATACCTGGGTTAAGGTTCAAACTGCTCTAGGGGCTGCTGCTGAACGCTTCAAACATTTTGCTGATAAGCGTAGGAGTGCCAACCCGGTGTACCAAGTGGGGGACCGGGTTTGGTTGTCATCTCGCAACATCAAGCTTAAGGTCCCTAGCATGAAGTTTGCCCCCAGATTCCTTGGTCCCTATAGAGTGCTTCGTAGGATCAATCCAGTGTCTTACTCTCTGGCTCTTCCTGCATCTTTAGGGATTCCCAACACTTTTCATGTGTCCTTACTCAAACCTCTTGTCTGCAATAGATATACTGTTCCTTGTGTTCCTCCCCCTCCGGTGGTGGTGGGTGGTCAGGAAGAGTATGAGGTATCTTCTATCGTGGATTCTAGGTTTTCTCGGGGCACTTTACAGTACTTGGTTGTTTGGAAAGGTTACGGTCCTGCTGATCGTTCTTGGGTTTCGGCTCCTGACCTGCATGCGGGCCGTAAGATCCGCGCTTTTCACGCTAAATTTCCTCTCAAGCCTGGTCCTGTCCGCCCGGTGGGCGTTCTTCAGGTGGGGGGTAATGTCACGTATTCATCCGCTTATAGAAATGTGGTTAATGACATTTACTGTCCACACAGGAAAAGTTGTGCCGAGCAGCAACCTAATCCACAGAAGGTTTAATGCTGAGCAGTAATTGTGCAAATGAAACCTGGTCTCATGTATTCATCCGCTTATAGAAAAGTGGTTAATGACATTTACTGTCCACACAGGAAAAGTTGTGCCGAGCAGCAACCTAATCCACAGAAGGGTTAATGCTGAGCAGCAATTATGCAAATTAAACCTGGTAACTGACTTTGGGGTCAAAGGCCGGTTACAGCCTATCAGAACTAAAGGAGGGGTATTTAGGCCCAGTTCTCAGCCTGCTCAGTGCCCTGTCGTGGTTTCCCTTGTGGTTGTCTGAGAGCGCGTTCCTGTTTATAGTTTTCTACCTGGTTTTTGACTTTGGCTTTGTTTATTGACTTCTCTATATTCTGGTATCCTGACTCCTGGCTTTCCTCATCGCTGTGTCCCTTTCTGTGTTCCCTGACCTCGGCTAGTATTTTTGACTATTCTTTGTACGTTAAATCCAGCCATTCAAAGGACCTGTAATACGTTACTTATTTGTCATCCGTGCTGTACAGTTCTACGTGCTGGATCAAACAGTAATCCTGACACCAGGTGACTAGGGGTCCCCAAACGCCTAGTCACTCCCCCTCCCCCCAAAAAATTAACCCCTACCTACCCCCCTCATCCTAAAAATAATGTGGGGGGACCGTTATCTAAATACCTGTAAAAAAAAAAAAAAAAAATTAGACTTACCATTTGATTTCTTCTTTCTTCTAAATTCTTATTTTTTCAGCCCCAAAAAAAGCCCCAAAAAATTCATAATAAATGACGCACTTTAAAAAAAAAAAAAAAATGCCTTGCCACGCTGTGTAATTTGACTCATAACAACACTCTGATTGGTGGATTGAAAGTAACCAGAGAGTTATGAGTCAAATTACACAGCGTGGGAAAATTCCAAAGAACTTTCCCACACTATGTAAAATGACACAGAGCACTAGTACATTTGCGTACTGCATTTTTTGCAGTCCAATAAAACCCTTAAATACTACTGTTACATTGTTGGTTTAAAAAAAAAAATCAAACTTTTTGGTGCTAAATAGTACATTTGCGGTGCACTTCATTGCAGTTATAAACATGCGAATTCTTTAGGTGCTAAAAAGTCAATTTGGTACCTGCAGTTCATATCTGAGAGTCAAATAGAACCGCCAAATATTGTGCTTACAATGCAGTTTTAAACATTTGAATTCTTTAGGTGCTAAAAAGTAAATTTGGTGCCTGCACTTCATATCTGAGAGTCAAATAGAACCGTCAAATATTGTGCTTACATTGCAGTTTGAAACATTCAATTTTTTTTGCTGTTAAATAGTACATTTGTGGCCTGCGGTGCACTTCATATCTGAGAGTTAAATAAAACCGTCAGATACTGTGCTTACAGCGCATTTTTAAACATTGAAATTCTTTAGGTGCTAAAAAGTCAATTTGGTGCCTGTACTTCATATTTGGTGTATGTGTGCAACACTGGCTAGCTACCGCTTCTCAAGAAAGTCTAAAGACTTTTTTAAAAAGTGAAAAATAAGTGTTATTGTGATCACTTCATATACAGAAGCATTAATACATTTCTATATTGTGTAAGACACAACTACAAAGTTAAAAAACAAACACCAAAACAACGTGGAATGAAGGTCATGCGAGTGACGTTTGCAGTTTGGAGGAAGAGGCGCTGGTTGCACAGAGGCACCAGCACAGAATAAGAGGAAGCAGGGTGCAAAAGCGGAGCGACTGTCCCCTAGCGCTCGTCGGCATGTATTATCTTTAGAATTCCCACAGTTATCCAAGTAACAGATGGAGCGATAAAAGGAACCGGGACCCAGTATGCCTAATGTTGAGGTTAGGAGTCACAGTGTGGAATGGATTAGCAGGGTCTGGTGCAGGGTAACCGCACGCCACCTGGTGATGAGCATCAGCATTTGTGTAGCCACATACCAGGACCCTGATGCAGCTTCAGCAGGCGATAGTGGAGTTTCAGCTGCAGCCCGCACGGGTCAGTCGCTCTCCACCAGACTTGCCCTCCAATTGATCCAAGTTAAAGGATTTAAAGTGGACTCATTACAATTACAGGGCCTCGAAAGAGTAGTGTATTGTTATTTGTCGTCACTACCTCCCCGTGTCGGGAGTGAGAAATTTACGCGCCTGCTGCTTCCTTGCATGTGGTAGCTGTTTCTCAGGCTCCCTCTCTGGAATCGAATCCTGATTCCCCGTTACTCGTGGTCACCATGGTATGCGCGGAAAATTGCATTGAAAGTTGATAGGGCAGACATCCAAATGCGTTGTCGCCGTCACGGGGACGTACGATCGGCACAAGGTTATCACAGACAAGTGCAGCCGCCTGTCCATGGCCAACATGGACAAGCTCATGTTTATTAAAATGAACCAGGCATGGATCCCACCAGACTTGTCTGTACCTTGTGCAGAATAGACATTTATACCGGCCTCACTCAGCCATTGTTATACTCAAGTGCACTTATTCTTTTTTTTCCTTTTTTATATGTCCCAATATTTTGGGGGCTACCCCAAAAAAAAAAAAAAGTGTTGCTACCTCCTCCTCCATCGCCACTGCTGCTTCCACCTACACCGCCACAGTGTATACCCAGATATATCAGACTAGCTGCAGAAAGTGTGGGCCGTCTGTGCGCACTTTTGGCATTCTCACCCTGCTGCTCGCCTGTCTGCAACGTGCCCACAATGTGGAACTCCACCTTGCACATACTGGAGAGACTGTGCAAGCAGCAGCAAGTGATAGCGGAGTTTCAGTTTTCAGTTTTTAGTGCAGAGCAGAGCCCCGATGCGCATTTTGCCAGTAAGGCGGCTCTTCAAGGGGGATAGGACCATTGTGACAGGTTGGGTATATTTTGGGAAATTCTAACCAAAATGTGTTCATATGGTCCAATGATGTGAGTGAAATTTGATTGACTGATAATTTGTCCAATGTGAGAACCCATGGGAACTTAAAGACATGATTGGATGATTTAAATATGTAGTCTTCATAAGCCTTCAATAGGAGTGCATAATATCAACAATCATTAAACTGTGTTTAATACAAAATTATTTTGTAACTATTTGCAAGATCACGTTTTTATTTGTGCAGCATTTAACATCCTGCAGAAACACCTACCACTCTCAGGCCTCACTTCACACTCAAACTCAGTGAAGAACTGCATTTTACATCCTGCAGAAACACCTACCACTCTCAGGCCTCACTTCACACTCAAACTCAGTGAAGAACTGCATTTTACATCCTGCAGAAACACCTACCACTCTCAGGTACTGACTGAATCTTGCAAGATACTCCACCTCATTTATTCCTGGATTGCTGCCATATTCTCATGTGTTACTATAGATTTGTTACCATTTATACCTGTAGTTTGCCACTGTAATTTTATGTGCATGTAGTTTGTACTATTGTCATTTAATGCTTCTGACCAATATTTCATGTAGACAGTTATTAATATTTTGGGTGATAGAATTTGGTTGCTAAACTTTTCAATAGTATATAACACATTGCTACTCTACCCTCCCCCCTCTTTCCTATTCTCCTCCCAGCTGTATATAACGAATAATGAATAACGAACTTTCTTATATCCAGAGTGAGATTGTCATAATGATACCCTAAGGATCCTATTGTGTTATGCCATGATGTACAAGTGAATGTCAATATTAGTGTGTAATGATAGTGTCTATTTATGATAAGACACTATAATGCTGTCACTGTGGTGCTGTATTGTAGTTTTATCTACAAAGTAGTATCTACAAAGTAGTACATAGAGATAAATCTCACTATGTTAATGTTCATGGTGATATAAAATAAATGTTAGTTGAAAATGTCTAATGTTGTCGTGTTATTATTTTTTTTTAAATAAATTTTGTTTACTTTCCTATTAAGGAATTTTATTTTTTTTGTAATTTAAAGTTTATTGACTTTTTTCATAGGTGTATAACCTTGGGATGGGTTTGGGGTACAGAAAAGAAATGGGGGGGGGGGAAGACAGGTTATGGATAATCACATAGGTACATGAGCTTCCAGGTACATTTATTACTTATACAGTTGACGTAGGGTTTCCAAGACAATTCCCTCATGAATTTACATAAGTACATTGTGCCTTTTTGTGTTGGGTATTCGCTTGTGTTTGTTTGACAGGAATTATATCCCACACATCTATCAGAGCAACGCAATGTTCACATTTCTATTTCAGCTCTACACACTGTGAATTAGTTAGTGCTAACTGAGGTATATGCCTTTACATCTGTTGGGTGGTGCTGACCCCACCCACAGTATCACTTGGTAGGTGGTTTACGTTCTACAATCTGGTGTGTTTGTGGCTTTTGGCTCTCGTACTTCGGACTTTGTGCATGCATCCATGTCCTGTGTGCCTCATGTATCTGTGTACATGCACCGAATTGTGTTGTTGCCATAAGTTCATACTCCCAGTTTTGTTCTACCTGTTTTAACAAGCCCTCAATCGTGGGAGGCGTCGTTTTTTTCCACAATCTGGATATCAGCAAGTTTTCTGACATGATGGTGTGGTAGATTATTGTCCTAATGTGTTTCGGTGTATCCTTTGGCAGCATGAACAGAACACAAGTTTGTGGGTTATCTAAACTTGGTGTCGGTAGCATTTTTTGTAGTAGTTGGGCTACCTCCTTCCAGAACATGCTGAGTGTGGCACAAGACCACCAAATGTGTAGCATTGTCCCTACCTCTCTCCCACACCTCCAACATTTATTGCTGGTGTTGGGCCACATCCTATGCAGTTTGTCTGGCACTAGGCACCAGTGGTACATTATTTTGCGTTGTAATTCCAGATGTGTATTGCATGCTGTGAGCCCCTGGTGTGCCGAGTATGCGTTATCCCATGTATCATCTGGGATTGTCTGTGCCAGCTCTTGGTGCCATGTCTGTTTAATATTGTCTAATGTTTGTGTTTGAGCCATGACCAGCTCCTGGTATCCCCAGGATAGAGTCTTCCCAAGTTTTGTTGTACCCACACAATGTTTTTCAAACCTCGTCATGTTTATCGTGTCCTCTGGATCTTTTTCGTCATCTAATTTACTCATCACGTATGACTTTAGTTGCATGTATGAGAATGTGGCCTTGGTGGGTAGTGCGTACTTCTCCTGAATGGCTGGGAGCGGTTTCAGGCGCCCCCCTGTCAATCACCTGATACATGTGGTGTATCCCCTCTCTCACCCATGTTACCCACGGGAAGGTTGGGATTTCCAGCCCTATTGTTTGTATCGGCGTGGCCAGGGGGAGTGGTTGCTTCACCACCAGTTTCTCTCTCATTTTGTGCCATACTTGTGACAGACCCATCTGTCTGGATTATAACTGCGTTGTTCGTCTGTTTTGCCGTTTTCATGAATTTCCCCGTTCGTATGCTTTGTTTAAGGGAATGTCGGTTTTGTCGAACGGAACTACCGAACGGACGGCCACCCAGAAGAGAAGTGTGCTGCTGGTTAACCTATTGATCCCAATTAGAACGTTGCGGTTAACCACAGACACTTCTCAATTAAAAACCGAATGCCGGGTGGTCGTCGTTCGTATGTCGACCACGAGGCGGCGGCCATTTTGTCCATGCGAACGACCAGCGGTGTTCAACGATTATTTCATGGATCGGAAAACGGACACTTTTTCAGCCGAACACCGCTGAAGCCGTCGACCTCCCCTTCTCAATCGACAAAAGCATGCGAACGACAGCCGTTCGGGAGATTCAACCACACGAATGGACTTAACCCAGATAGCCGTCCCATGGAGTCAATCGCATACCGAAGAACTGAAAGAGACTTTGACTCCATGGCGATTGAACTGTGCGAATGGGATCTGAGCGCTATTCTCCAATAATGTGCCCTCAGATCCAGGCTATCTGGGGATATGCAAGACTGATGTAAAATGTTCAGCAGTTATTAAGTTATGGATTTTTGTGTGTTTTTATAACTTGTATCTAAAATGGCGATTGCCTCTGCTCGGGGAGATAATTGAATTACTTCCCAATTATTCCCCGAGCAGAGGGGAGGGAACTGTACTGCATGCTGGGAATATTGTGGGGATGTATGTCCAGAATGTCCCCATGTCCCTCTGTGATTTCAGTCTCCCATTTGGTCCCCTAGGGGAGTGTCCACCAAGTGGGAGACCTGCATAAATACCGGGCAGGTAGCCCACAGTAAACCAGTTCGTGTTTTACCCTCAAAGCGGAGCTTGGTCTCGTTATTGGGGGGATTTGGTTACCGACGCTTAGAGACTGCTGATTGGAAATATTTGCCGCTTGGAAGGTATTAGCGTTCGGCTAATATTGGCAGTTCGTGGATTTGGAGCTCGTGGAGGGAAATAGCCGTACAGGTACCGTTCGGGAGTTTGGAGTGTTCCCCAGCTGGCGGTTCGCATGGTTTTACTATACCCGCTACCAGCCTACATTATTGCGAACGGGGAATACTCACTAAACGGCGGTTTATACATTTCATTACTGGAGGTACCGTAACAACTGGTGGCAAGCGACGGGATGATCCTCAGCGCCCAAAGAAACCACTACAACCAGGACTAAATGGAATTACAGTATCAAAACCTGAGGAGAGCTACCCTAAAGGATTTATTAGAGCAAAGAGGCGGACAAGCCAGTAACCTCAGGAAGAGGGATATTATTACATTATTGCTGGAAATGGATGGAGTACCAGCGGCAGAGGGAACCGATGGACCCAGCACAGCTGACAGAACCCCCGAGGAGGCAAGCTTCGACCGGGCGGTAAGGATCAGGCTGGCCCATTATGGTCCCAACCCAACTACTGAGACTGTCACCCAGGTCATAGCCGCTGTGGAGGCCAACCTGCTACGCCAAAGTGGTGCTGCAGCAGCCCCAGTCACAGCAAACCTGGGAGATAGGAAAAAGGTACCCTTTACAGCATTTAAAGCCTTCAATGAGACAGAAGGAGAAATTGATGGGTACCTTGCTGATTTTGAGCGGCAATGTGCCCTACACAAGGTACCCCTGGAAGACTGGGTTACTATACTGTCCGGCAAGTTATCTGGCCGGGCCAGCGAGGCTTTTCGGGCCATTCCAGATGAAGAGATTGGGGATTATGGGGCCGTCAGGGAAGCTTTACTCTCCCGGTATGCTGTTACACCTGAGGCGTACCGGAGGAGGTTCAGAGACACGGTTAAAACCTCTGGGGACTCATATGTGGAATGGGCATGCAAGGTGCACCGCACAGCCGCTCACTGGATGGCGGGGTGCCAGGCTGTGTCCGGGGAAGAGGTGCTACAGATGTTCCTCTTAGAACATTGTTTTGACAAATTACCAACAGGGGTCAGAGAGTGGGTAAGGGACCGTAAACCCTCCACTCTACACGAAGCAGCTCGCCTG